TCCTCACAGCCTCCCCAGCCCCGGCCCCCGGCCCCACCACCGAAACCCGGGGAGTGGAAGGAAGGCGGCGAGAAGCGGAAAGAGATGCAGAATTGAGAAATGACTTCATCGTCAGGCCTCGTTCCGGGGCCTTTCCTCCTCCCGGTCCGCCTGGAGGAAAAGAGCAAGGCACTTCACAAACAGTTCGAGAGGAAAAAAATCCTAATGGTGGATAAATATTTTATCACAGAGACTTAATGCAGCAGTATTCAGCTCGCCCAAGCCATCTATCTGGAGATATACAACTTTAAAAAGCTCGGGCTCTCGGAGAACATTTTATTAATGACCTGTCTCGTTAAGAAGAGGGAGTTTAGGTTCAAAAATGCATTAATACCAGTCGGGTGCACGGGTGGAAGGCGGGGGTCGGGGGGGAGGAAGCGTGATAAATTTTTAACGCCCCCTTAAAGAAATCCACGCTTAAAGGAGGAACAAATTTATTACTAATTATGCAATTATTTCATTTGCTGATGCAGGGGAAGAAAGATACTGAAAAGGCTTTTTAAACTATTTCTAATAAAGAATGGGAAGTCCTGCTCTGTTGTCCTTCGGCTGGGGCACAAGGTGGGTGGGTTTGAAGCTGCCCTCCGCCTGAGGCTGGCACCGGCCCAGCTCCCCGCGGGTCTGGGGGCCCCGGCCTGGCAGGCCCTGGGCTCCCTGCTGCTGCTGCTTAGGAACGGTCAGGCCGGGGACGAAGGCCCAGGGCAGTAACCCATGGGGACCTTCAGGAAGCCCTGCGCCCAGGAACCTCGGCCTCCACCCCAGAAGTGCCCAGGGCCCAGCCCCAAAGAAGTCCGGCAAGTGCAGGGGTGGCTCCTGTCTGCTCTGATGTAGCTGTTGTGGTGGGAAGGGCACAGACTCGAAGGGTGGGGGGTGAGCAAGGGAGCCCCTCAGGAGATGCATGTCCCACAGGGGCCAGTGTGATGAGGCGTGGGGATGGCCAAGAAGACGTGACGAAGATGATGACAGTGACCGGCACCATTGGGGACTGAGACTTACCCAAGCTAAGGACCGCACCGTCTCAGGCCCACACCTCCCTGAGAGGCAGGGACCAAGGATCAGAGAGGTTCCCCACTCGCTCCCAGTCCAGGGCTGGGAGGCGGCAGAGCCAGGATCCCAGCAGGGCTGCCCGACTCCAGGCCCTGCTCCACCCTGCACAGCATGCTCAAGCTCCGCCTCAAGTCTCGGCCCCTCACTGTGTAGATGGGGAAACATGCCCAGGGAGGGGGACACTGCGCAGGAAGCCCGTGAGAGCTGCCACTCGCGTTCCGGCTCTGGCCGTATCGGCAGTGTGATTCTCTCCCCCTCTGCTCCCCTCCCACAGATGAGACTGAAGATCAGAGAGGCCCATAGATTATGCGTTTTTCTCCTAATCCCACTAACTTGAAATAATTTAGCCATCAGCATGAATGGGGAAATATTTTTGTGATACAGAGACACATCTATCATAGGTAAACAGATTGACTTTGTATAATCGCTAAATCCGATGAAATACAATAAAACTAAAGCTGCAAAAGAAAAAGATCCATAACACAGGTGCCACAAGGCCCTCCCACACCTCGGGGAACACGTTAGGAGGTATTTCTTCCAGTGGTGTACCCACCGCAGACCTGGGCAAGGTGTCTTCCCATGCCTGATGGCATTTACCCCGAGTCAGGAACCACCTCCAGTAATAGAGGGACCAGAGGGTCCTGGAGACAGGGACCTGCCCGAGGCCCAACAGTGGTAGAGCCAGGACTCTGGCCCACCCTGAAGTCATCCCTTCCTCCATTACACACAGTGGGGCTCTGGAGTGAGTCTGACCTTTTATGATCACAGACTAGCCCCCTGACCACAGACTAGCCCCCTGACCCACTGAATAAACCTCGGTTTCTACCTCTGTAAGGTGGGGACAGCCCCCACCGCATGGGGTTAAGATGAAGTGAGGTCCTGTAGGTGAAGCACCTGGGACCTTGCTCACAGTAGGGCTCATGGCAGGGTGGTAGTTATTATATACTATTGCTATTTGTTGTTGATCTTGTAACCACTAGACCCTGTGGCCACAAGTCCAGACTCAAGGACAGTCGCGACTATCCGGGAGGAAGAAGGAGTCTGGGTGATTTCCAGGCGCCCTCTCTGGAGTTTGGGACCAGGCCTCTGGGGTAAGACAGGCCCGCACAGCCCCCGAAGTGCTGGCCAGGGTGCCTGCCCTTGGCCCAGCCTCATAAGACACAGAGGTCAGCCTCCGGCTCAGCACACAGCTGCTCCTAGCGTATGCCACAGCCCATCTGCCGAGTGCTGGTAACAATTAGCTCCAGGCCCCAGCCTGCCATGCCTGCTCTCTGTCCCTGGCCCCAGGGCTCTCCAGCTGTCCCGGCTGCTAAAACCAGCCCAGCCTGCAGTGCTTGCACCAGACAGAGCTTCTTCGGCCTCCCAGGCCAGCCACAGGTCAGTCTGCCTGGTGGAAGCTGGGCCAAGCAGGGAGGCAAGGCAAGCTGCTGCTGGCTCTGTAGGCTGCTCTAAGGCCGGCGGGGTCGGCATGGGCCCCGAGCAGGTGTCCACCCTGGCTCCCCAGCACGGCCTGCAGGGGTGGGGGTGGGAGTGGGAGCGGGGGCCG